GGAAAGAGTATGTCCCACCATCTGAACGGAGAACTCGACTCGCAATTAAGAGAACTGGGAGGAAAAAATACTCTCATAACTTGCTCATTTTAGAAACTAGTTAACGTCAAACCTCGTGAGAGAGTTAATGGCAGAAAAAGAAACTGGCTTTCAAAAGGCCAACGTGGCCTTCTGCCTGTACTGACTCAGGGGCTTTGGGGGTTTGGAGGGGCAGGAAGGTCACTTTAGAGCTTTCCCAGTTTGCTCTCCTTTACTGCTGATGGTCATATCCATTTCTGCTCCAAGAAGTGAGGGTATTTTTAGGTCAAAGAGATGAGGGGATTGGAAGTGATGAAGCTAGGACAAGAATGGGCAGGAGTGAGGAACTGCAGCTTGGCAAGCACACTTCTCCCACGTTATTACTGTTAGAATGGAACCCACACTGAAGGGATCTCTTCTTCAGACACCATGTTATCAAGGTGTCCATCGAGACAAAAGACAGCGAGCTGAGCTGTGCCCATGTGGGATGAGGCTTCACCCTGGGAACACCTCTCAGATCAAAGCATTGTAGATACGGTAACATCTGCTGGGTGTCTTGCTTTAAGGGAGTGGGATGGGGTGAAAGACTCATAGGACCGATGAAAATGTCAGTCCCAAAGGGAAAATGCTGCTGGTCATGCCTGCTCCTGAGAAAAATACATCAGAGCATTCAGGAGGAATGCCAGTGGACATTTTATAAGCTATCGATACCTATACTTGGTAATTTTTCCATCATAAAGCAACAGATGTCTCCCTTCTGCCTACCTCCCCAGGCTTCCCCATAACCAATTTCTGCCTGAATCGAGCAATCTATGTATTATCTCAGAAGGCCAAGAGAAAATTCTATATCCTATTCCATTTGCAAAAGCCATTGAGTACATACTGCCCCACCCCCTCGCCAGGATCTTCAAGGAAAGCACGCACAGGAAAGGTTGATAACTGACCCACCACCCTCAAATTCCTTTAGCACCAACTGCAAAAAAAAAAGGAGCAAAAAAGTGTCATTTTTAAAATAAGGGTAAATGAAGAAGAGGAAAGAGTTTCTAAATGTGCAAAGCTGCAAAATTCCCACTCTCCTTTCCCATAATGATCTCATTTAATAAGCCCGGCCTATAAGGTATGTAGTCAGTGAATGAGTGTTCGGGTGAGCGTGGAGAGGACTCCCAAGGCCAGCCAGCTTAAACATCTTTACGTTTAAGTTTCTAGATAAGAGGTAACCCAAAAGCAAACCATACGTGTTCTAACATGTTATACCTCTCCCTGTGTACACTGGCAACAGTTGAAGGACACAGGAATTTTCCCAGATGAAAGTACTGCAACAGAGCAGCGACTCCTATGAAGCAACTAACAGGACAAACTTTTCCATGGCGTACCCAGCACCCTATACAGCCATGACAGACCAGGCAATTTCTCAGAACACCACTCATTTCAAGAATAGAAAGAATCCCATCCTACATGTGGACTCTCTTATATTTGTATTGGGAGTTTAATGGGTCACTGTATTCAAAAAGAAAGCCACAGAACTAGAGGCAGGACTAAAATGCAGAAATAATATCCCCTGTGTCCAGTGACTCGAAAGATAACCGGTCTTAAGAAAGGATATCACCAAGACTGGATGGCGGCAATCTTCAGGCTTGGACTCTGATGTACTGTGCACCACTTCTGAATGCCTACTGCTCTTCCCACCATTTGCATAGCTTTTCTGTTTTGTTTTATATTCAGTTATGCATAGACATGTTTGCTTTACTAGCGCCTAAGTTCTTTGAGGGCAAATTTTATAAAACTACTCCCCAAAGCCCTGCACATAGAAGACAGTCAGTAACAACCTGACAGATGAATGAGAGACTGAAGAAAGGAACGGCATGATTTTATGCTTACCTGAATCAACGCAGTAATCCCGGGGCTCCTGCTTGATTCCCATTGGTGACTGGAATCCATGTGCTGGGGGGCCCGGCATGCCTGGGACCCCATGTTCATAGAGTGGGTCATGGTATTCTTGTTTGAATCCCTGAGGGGGTGGGGGGGGTGCAGGGACGATAGGTTCTGACATTTGCCGGTGGTAATTGGGGCGATTATCTCCAGGAACTCCTGACTGAGGAGGGAAGGGGTGGCAGGGTTCAGACAGTTGTCTCTGAAATCTGCAAGAAGAAAGTAGTAGTTACATTGTTAAGTAAGAACAAGATGAATACCTACTGTGATATAGCACTGAGGATTAGAAGTCCAGACTAATGGAATTATTTGCAAAGTACTTATTAATGCTTATTTCTGGACATCTTACCCTCTTCCCAAAATTATATCACACATTTCAAACCTCCTGAGTCAGGGACTGGCCAAAAAAATAAATAAATAAAACAATGAATGACATGGTAGCATCTTATTTTCCATGCATTTTTATTTCATGCACAGTCTATGTGTATAGTTGGGCCAGATTACGTATCTGAATATATAAAACCAATTATTTGCAAATATCACTAACATGTTATGTTTGTACACTGGTTCATTCATTCTCTAACCTGTAGACAGAATTAATTTTTAAAGACAGAGGAGTATTTAACCAGAAGTTAACCAGTTAGAAAACGTAGTTTTAAAAAAAAAGCTTATATGTAATAGCAGTCAAAACCATAAAATCCCTAGGAAAAATCAGGAAATGTGTAGGCTATACAAGAATAAAATCTTAAAACTATTTTCTAAGCAACCAATCTAATGAAAGAAAATATTTAGGACTTGGAAGGTGTTCACTCACTGAAAATTATTCTGTAAAAGCAATTCCTTCCCAACCAACTTGACAAAATGATTCTAAACTTTAAAAGATTAAGAAAGAATGATCTATTAGACTGACAAATATTATAAAGCCACAATAATAGGAATACAAAGAATGATAGGCACGTCAAAGGAATCCAATGAGAAGTCACAAACTGTCAAGCATATTCCAGAATATGCTACTTGTTAAGGTTAGCATTTCAAATAAGAGGGAAAAAGATCCCTGTTTTATACCACATGCCAAAATTTTTATATAAAGATTTCAATGTGAAACCACGATAGTAAATATATGTGAAAACATATCTTGGAGTGAGGAAAATCCTTTCAATACATCATACCAACAGCAGAAATCATGAAGATAAATATGGATATATCTCCTTGTATAAATTTCTGTAAGTCAATAAACACCAGAAACCTAAAGAAAAACAATAAACTGGGGAAAAAAACCTATAATAGTCAGAAAATACCAGAAACAAGGCCCCCAATTAAACAAACTGAGGAAAAATCTCTAAGAGATACAGTAATGTTAATACTGTTGATATAAAGGACTTTTAAAAAAACAATAAAAGATGGACAGGCCAACAGAAAAAATGGGTAAAGAACATAAACGGGGAAATCACTAAAGAAGGGATGTAAATGGTCATAGACAAAAAGTTTAACTTCATTAGTAATCAAAAAAGTAAGTTTTAAAAGTCAACAATGTAACCCTTAATATTAAGGTCTTACTCTCTACTTTTAGTTTGATCCTATTAATAGTTTTAATCAAATAATTTGCATTTGATCTGAATCAATCTGTGACAACAGGTGGCCAATAGATTTCTAGAACATCAAGACTTAAAATCTTAAACTGAAGACATTTGTGTGCAGATAAAACACTGTTTAGATCAGAGTATAGCATGGCTCTCACTCTGTGAGTCTTTACTATCTTACTAAAAGCAGCACCACAAGACCATTTTATAACATGAAGATCACCAAACTATTTTATATATATATTTATCCTTTCATCCCAGACACCAAAAGTACCAGAATCTGCCTGGCCAATTATTTAAACAAGTTTTATGAACTCTGTAAGGTTCAGTGGGCACTGGATGCATTACAGTGGATTGTCACCAGGAGCGCAATTTTCAAGGTTGCTGTTATTTAAGGAAACCCTTCTGTGGTCTTTGAAGTGTAAATTTGAAACTTGGGTTTAGGCTTGACATTTAGAATACAGGCACCAGAAGCATGCTACACCTGATTTTTTTTTTAACACAAATTCTGAAGAAGTGGGCAGAAAAGAAAGTGAAGATACTCTTTAGGGCTTTTTAAAATAAAGTACCCAAAGTTTATGCTAGCAGGAACAGTAACGAGGGCACCCACTTTCCATGTTCTCTCCCTTCCCCGCTCTGCAACCTTCCTAGCACCTTCCAAAGTAACCTCCACAAATCACTTCCTTGATGGCTCTGAGACGGCACCAAACTGCTCAGTTCTGTAACCAGAGCCTGTGCAGCTGGCAGGCCCAATCACTGCACTTCCGCTCAGTGCTCATCTTCTCACTTTCCAGAATGAAACTCTAGAGTTGGCCTGCTATGGCCCCCTCAGGAAAAGGTACTTCCAGGTGGGCACCAGCCAGCAACCCTCATCCCCTCCCCCCAGCATAACTTTAAGGATGCATGAAGCTTACAGGCCTGGGATCTGCAGAACAGATTCTAGAACTGGGATTGTTTTGTCCTAGTTTGTTTTGAGGAAGCGGGAGTGGCAAAGGGGAGCTTAAGGGTAGGTCACAAAACCAACATATTTGGAAGGAAGATTCTCTCAGAGCTTGCTGCTGATAATGATTTTTATTTGCAGAGATTAGTAAAGTAATTCAGTTCTTGTCCTCAAATACATTGTGAACTTTACTCACTGACCTTCATTTGAACCCCCTTCCCCTTTCTGCACTCCTTCTGAAGTATCTAAGAATGCGTTGTATACATAGCACAGCTATGACAGAGATGCCTCTTGTTTACTGAGGCAGGCAATCATTTTCAATGGAGGGGTGGCTTGGTTCCTAACAGACCTCTTTCTTCCTCCAGATAACCACTCCCCCCTTCCACCACCCCCTCACCCCGTGATCCCAACAGATTTCAGGCCATAGTGAGCTCACAGTTGGTGAGCAAAAGGAGACTTCTGACTACTGAGCAAGCCTAAATTCAATAGGTTACAGATTAAGGCTTTTTTCAGTGCCAGTTTATTTAAAGAATCAGTTATTTATTTATTTGTCAGATTTATATAGCGCCTTTCCTCCCAAGAGCTCACCCACGCTACCAACATTTGGTTTACATTATGAAAACCGTTAGATGCTTTTTCTGCATTTCCTTTTCGGTTTCTGCTGCCAACACACAGAGTAAACACAATCCTTAGAGAAAAAAGGAGAAAAGTATGGATTCAACGAAGGCTACACAGTGGCTGGCTATGGGTGCCAGGTGAAGGAGATTGGCAGTTCAGAGGCTATAGCCGAGAGATGATACAGAAAACTGGCTAAGAAACCACCACCACGTACTTAATATTTCCATTAAAGCTAAGAGAAGATAGAAAATAGAGAAGCAGCATAGCTGGGTAAGAGGCTCTGGCTGCGAAGTCAGAACACATTGGGTTGAAATCCAATCTCTACCCCTTACTAGCTGTGTGACCTTGGGTTAGTTATGTAAATGCTCTGAGCCTCAGTTTCCTCATCAGGAAAATAAGGACAGTCGGGTTACTTGTCCCAAAGATCTGTCGTAAAGATTACATAAGATACTGTGTGAGACAGGGCCGAGCACGCTGCTGAGTTCTTGATTTTATGTTACCTTCAAATGTCACCATCAACTCCCCATGCCACCCTGACCCCCACAGTAAGCTAAATTCAGAAGGTATGCAAATGTAAGGGAAGATCTTAAGGAACTGGGAGAAGACTTTCCTCCACACAAAATAAGAGTCTCCTAGCTGCCTACTCAGTCTCCTGTCTCAGAAAGAGAATGCTGACTTTTATTCCGGGTGGTAACGTACCACCTAACTTCACATAATATTGATTTTCCTGACATATACCAAGAGCCAGGCACTGCTGCAAAACAAAACCCACACATTGTCCCTAGAAAGCCCACCAAAGAACTCTGCAACAGCTCTCAGGACTCTGTGAGGTCTGTTGGCATTGCTTAAACTCAAATTGGCCTGTCTAAACTATGGTAAAACCTAAAGAGATGATGAACAAAATATGTCCTTTAAAGGCCTAGATATTTGTCTGATTTCTCAAGATCTAACATGGAAGAAAAAAGGTGATGTAAATACAAGATGTTACCAGGAGATTAGATGGTGAAAGTATTAGTTTTACGTGTACAACATTAGTAAGTCTAATGATGAAAAGATTTAGGGATACAGGGAGGTTTACATTTTTAAAACTTAATATTAAACAGTGAACCAACTAAAGTTTCTGTTGTAGTATCTACATCATTTAAGGAAGATTCCTTTAGGATAGTTTTCTTTATGGAACATAAAAGTGATTTTTTTTTTTTTTTTTTTTTTTTTTTTTTTTTTTTTGTGTGGGGTGTCCCTCCCCTGTTGTGGCCTCTCCCATTGTGGAGCACAGGCTCCGGACGCGCAGGCTCAGCGGCCATG